AGCTCTACCAGTCTGATGGGGAGGAGGATAAGGAGGAAGAGGAGGAGGAGGAAGAAGAAGCTGAAGCCGAAGCTTCTGCTGATGAGGAGAAAGCGGAGGACGCCGAGGATATCGGTGAGGAAGGCGCTGAAAAAGAAAAAGAAGAGGAGGAGGAGGAGGAAGCCGTCGATAGTGAGCTGGAGTACTCTTCAGAGGAGGAGGTGGTGGCAAATGACCACAGACGATTCAATTCAGAGGGTGACAGAAAGCCTGCCGGCGGAAAGAAGGCCACTACTGCAGCTGCTGGCGGTCTCACCTCAAAGCTGCGCCGACGAAAGGAGCGCGACGCGAAGACGAAGAAGATTGGCGTCCACTTCTACGACACCATTCGCAAGAAGACCACGAAACGCGCCAAGGTGGTGGACGCCGGCAAGGCGAGCAGAGGACATCGAAAGAAGAAGTAAAACAGAGTGTAACTGCTCAAAAGATAGTGAATATATATTTATACATCGTTTGGTGTTTGTTTGTATTGCTCGCGCATCATACACTAAAAGGACTCCCTGTTTATACACAAATCACTTCTTCCTGCTTTTGCCCATTTGCTCCTTTCGCTTCTTCAAATGCTTGGGCAGCTTGCTCTGTCGCTTCTCCCGCTGCTCCAGCTTGACGTTCAGCTTCCGTTGCTGAGAAAAGGAAGGGAAAGTGTTGATTAGAAAACAGCTGCTCTGTCAGAGGCGGCAAATCGAACTCTTGGCTCAACTTACCCTTTTCTCCTCGGCCGTTTCGTCCTTTGGCCGACCGGCGTGCTGGTGGTGACCTCCTTCCTCGTCGCTTCCTGACTGAGAGGCTTCGCCATCCGAAGAAGAGGAGGAGGAGGAGGAGGATTCATCGTCCTCATTGTGAGTGGCCGCCAAGAGCGCCGGCTTCGTCGTCGCCCCACTGAGATCTGCCTTCAGTCCGGCCAGTGTCTTGTAGTGCGTCTGATCGCGGTTCGTCTGCGTTCGGTCGTAGTGCGCCANGTGGTGACCTCCTTCCTCGTCGCTTCCTGACTGAGAGGCTTCGCCATCCGAAGAAGAGGAGGAGGAGGAGGATTCATCGTCCTCGTTGTGGGCGGCCGCCAAGAGCGCCGGCTTTGTCGTAGCCCCACTGAGATCTGCCTTCAGTCCGGCCAGCGTCTTGTAGTGCGTCTGATCGCGGTTCGTCTGCGTTCGGTCGTAGTGCGCCACGTGGTCGAGCCGCTGCGGAATGAAGACCTGCTTGAAGACCTCCTCGTCAAGGGCTTCCTCCGCCCCCTGGCCGCCCTCCTCGGCGCGCTCCGCCGCCAGCTGCTGCGCCCGCTCCAGGTACCGGTCGATGTTCTTCTCGGTGATGTTCGGGTCGGTGACAAAGTCAAAGAGCTCCTTGGTGGTCATCGTGAGGACGCCCCGCCGCCCGAAGTAGTCGTTGACGTTGGTGCAGTCCTTGCGGAGGAACTCCAGCGCCGAGGGGTGGTCGTGCTCTACCGACTGCGAGACGTCGATGACAAAGATGGAGGAGTTGTGGTAGAGCAGGTTGAACTCGCTCAGGTCGGCGTGCACCAGGTGGCACTCGTTGAAGAGCTTCCGCATGATGAGGATGCACTCGAGGTAGAGCTCCTTGAACTTTGCCGAACTGAGGTTGCCGCAGTCCTTCAGCAGCGGCGCCGGAATGCCGTCCTTGCCCACGAAGTCCATCACCAGGACGTGGCTGCGCAGCACCTGCGGCTTCGGACAGTTGATGCCTGACTGGTAGATGCGGCAGAGGTTGCGCATCTCCTTCTCCGCCCAGGTGCGCACCATCTTCCGGGGGTTGTGGCGGCAGTAGCCGTGGCGAAAGCGAAACTCCCCCGACACGTACTTGTCGCGGTCTTTGAACACCAAAATGGAGGTTTTGTAGATCTTCACGGCCTTGTCGACGCCGCCTTCCTCACTGGATGTGGCGTGGTAGACGTTGGCCTCCTTGCCGGTGCTGATGCAGCCGTTGATCTGCTCAATGTAGCGGCGGTTGATCAGCTTGAAGAGAATCATCCTCGTGCGCGGGTCAAGCACCTGCTCCACGGTGGCTCGGTCGCACTTGTCCTTGATGCGCTTCCGCTCCTCGAAGATCTTCTTGTCCGTCACATTGAGCAGGTTCCACGTCTTATTGGTGACATTGTACGAGTCCAGGTTGATCTTGTCCTCGTACTTGCTGAACTTTTTCAAGTTCGGCTGGTAGTTGCCCGTCTGGATGTGCTCCCGTTTCGCCTGCTTCAGTTGANTACGAGTCCAGGTTGATCTTGTCCTCGTACTTGCTGAACTTTTTCAAGTTTGGCTGGTAGTTGCCCGTCTGGATGTGTTCCCGCTTCGCCTGCTTCAGTTGATTGTCATCAAAGAACAGCTCTTCAACGCCATCATCGTCGTCGTCGTCAACGTCTTCTTCCGCTTCATCTGGACTGTCCCGCAGCTGCTGCTTCGCCAGCAGTTGGCTGACTTTGTTCTCCGCCTCTGAAGATTGGCCCTCCACCTCGAAGGCATCGCTGAACTGGTTCTCGGTCTCGGTGGTGCCCATAATTTGTTGGTGAAGATTATTTCTCATGCGGCAATGTTTTTTTTGCAAAAATAAAATACACACGTGAACCGCGCCTGCCCTTCGCAGAGTACGTAAGCACTGCCCGCGCACGTATTGCACAATCCAATTCGTGGCACCTCAAGTGCACCTAAACCCAAGCGCATCATCACCACTATCATCATCATTTTTTAGACCACCTAGCAACTCTTTTCCGCTCTTTATCACGTCAAAGAGGAGGGGAGGGAGGGGCTGCTGGTAACGGTGGACGCTAGCCAACACGATCAACGTGACCGTTTAATGGAATTTGCAGACAGACAGCCTGGTAGGCANTAACGGTGGACGCTAGCCAACACGATCAACGTGACCGTTTAATGGAATTTGCAGACAGACAGCCTGGCAGGCAGAGTGGCAGGGAGTGCGCGCACAGTGGCTGGCAGCGGCAGTCGCAGTTGAAGAATGCATACATCAACTATGGGCGAGATTGACGCGACGGCTGCAGTGCTTGCGTAACAGTGGTGGGGCATCCAAAGCGCTATTCAAACAGAGCATAGGCACTGGTACTGTTGCTGCCGCTGTACAGTGGCTGCTGCTCTATACAAGGAAGTTGGACACTGCCGAACTGAGGATGAGAGTGTGAGTGCTTGATGGTATGTTCCGGCTTACTCGAGAACTCGACATTCGCTCCTCAGACGACATCTACTGCTCTGTCCACTCTGCTCAGTGAGCACCATAAGCCACCACCCAAGTCACAGATCGGATCGTCATCAGCAGCACAGCACAGCATTGCACCGTCGCCAGCGGCTCATCGTGCCGCCGCCGCCACCTGCTAATTAGCGAGACTGTTGTTCTCTGCTTTCCACAAATCTCCCCCCCCTTCCCCTCTTATCGCCGTGGCAGTCAACAGTTCTGGGGAAAGCATAGGCATCAGCATCAGCAACGACAGCAGTTGGGGAGAAAGAAAGAGAAAGAGACAGCGCATAAGCACATACACACACACACACATAAATTATCAACAACGACGACCTGGACAGTAGTGCCACAGCAGCGCAGATCAGCACTCTGCCGCATCTCTGCCGCCAGTCTCCGCGCGCTCTCTCTCTCTCTC